GGAACCCGAGTCAAATGTCCTCGTCTCCCCTGAGGTGCACCTGCACGCCCTGCTTTCCGGCAGTGGATATACCGAGTCCGATGGCGACGAGCTGCTGCTGGCAGCAGCCGAACCGGACGATGAGCCAGACCCGTGGGAGAAGTTGCTCGCCAGTCTCCCTGAGAAGTACCACGAGTTCGCTGACGTATTCAACCCCGTGGAAGCGTCAAAGCTGCCGCTGCCCCAACCGTTCGACCACCAGATCAACCTGGTCCCTGGTGCAAAGATGCCGACGGCCAAGTTGTACCCGGTGAAGGAGGCCGACCGAGCCGACTTGAAAACGTACATTGACAAGATGCTGGCCAAAGGGTTCATCCGCCAGTCGCACTCGCCAACAAGTTTGCCGGTCCTGTTTGTCAAGAAGAAGGACGGTTCCCGACGGTTGTGCGTGGATTACCGCGAGCTCAACTCCGTCACGGTAAAGGACAGGAGCCCGATCCCCCTGATTGACGAGCAGCTTGCCCGGCTGCGCCGTGCGGTCCGCATCACCAAGATCGATCTGATGCACGCGTACAATCTGCTGCGGATGGCCCTCGGGCACAAAGCAATGACCGCGTTCTCGACCCCGTTTGGATTTTTTGAGTACCTGGTGATGCCGTTCGGACTCTGCAACGCCCCCGCCACGTTCCAGGCGTTCATGAACTACATCTTCCGAGATCTCCTGGACGTCACGGTGGTGATCTACTTGGACGACATCCTGGTGTTCACGAACCAGGGCAAAGACCATGACGAGGCCGTCCGGGTGGTGTTCCGGCGCCTCCGCGAGTACCGGCTATTCGCCAAGGCGTCCAAGTGTGAGTTCGACGCATCCGAAGTCGAATACCTGGGCCACCTGGTGTCAGCAGAAGGAGTGCGGATGGATCCCGCCAAAGTCGAGGTTGTCCTGAACTGGCCGGTACCAAAGACGGTACACGACGTGCAAGTGTTCCTTGGTTTTGCAAATTACTACCGCAGGTTCATCGCAGGGTACTCTGGCATCGCAGCTCCGATCACCGAGCTACTGAAAGGCAAGCCATCCGGTGGTGTAGACTGGTCGCCGAAGCAGCAAGACGCGTTTGACCGGCTGAAAGCGCACTTCAAGCAAGGTCCGTTGCTGCAGCACTTTGACCCGAATGCGGAGATGCTCCTCGAGACCAACGCGAGTGACCAGGCCATCGCCGCAGCGCTCAGTCAGCCGTTTGCAGCCCACTTGTCTGTGGCTGGAGAGCTGCAACTGGCCAACCCTCCGGACCCGACAAAGCCGAGGTGGCATCCGGTAGCGTTTCGTTCGCGAAAGTTGAACTCGGCTGAGCGAAACTACGAGATCCACGACAAGGAGTTGCTGGCTATTGTTGATGCGTTCCACGAGTGGCGCCACTACTGCTCGAACCCGCGACACCAGATCCTGGTGCTGACCGACCACAGAGGCCTCGAGTACTTTGCGACAAAGCGATATTTGAACGCGCGACAGGTCCGGTGGCAGCTCAAGCTGGCCGACGTCGACTTCCTGATCCGGTACCGCGCAGGCTCGCAATGCAAGGTGGACGGTCTGACCCGACGCCCGGATATGCATGCTGGCCCGAACGCATACAATCCCGCTAATGAACAGGTGCTATTGGGCCCGGACCGCTTCCTCCCTGGACGACCGACCGACCC